TGTAGTATTACAGTAAATACACCACTCTAATGCATTTACAAATATCGACCGCACACGATGTCAATGCCATCATGACCCACATAAGTCATAATGAACTCAGCGGGAGTTCAACACCAAACGTTCAAAGGCACAGTTCAGTTTACACTTGCCAATTGCATTACTCAAGACAGGCACACTGACCAACTCACGTGACGATCAGCTTAACACCCCATACTTCGCCCTGTTCGGTCAGGAAATGTTCACGGCCGGTAGCGATTATAAACTAGCACGAAAATTAATATCTTTAAGCGAGGGCGAATTAGCGATCGTTAACCGCGAAGATTATATGCAAATTATACGTGAAAGGATTAAAGCCAATTTATGATAGGCGGAAACGAATGATCAACTTTCGCCCGGGCCAAGAAGTATTTAGAAAGAATCACGTCTTGAGCGACTTCAAAAACAATATTAACGCAAAATTTTGCCCCAAATATATCAAATGTCGCATTGTTAAGCCAATTGGGAACAATATGTTCGAAGTCGAAAACCTTCAAGGGAAATCACTCGGCACGTGCCATGTGAAAAATTTGAAACAGTAACCGAATGTAAAGCGAATGAGAATGCCCGGTCTAGCTCGCGGTAAGAGAGATGAATTTATCTCAGGGCGTGGGTGTAGCCTACGCTGGGCGCCTTGCAAAACAAAGTTGGCGCTCCACATCTTTCCACCCTCGCAGCTGCCCACGCGGGAGCTAACAGTGGCTGAGAGGGTGTGCTGTTATGGGAGCGCTGGATACCCGTGATTGCTGGTTTGCGATCCATTGTCTGGCTCAGCGCGTCCAGTAGAGTAAGAACCTGGAATCAGAAGAAAGCATCGTCTGCACCATGTATTTTCACAATGTCATTATTTAAGGATACTTCCCCAACAAGTCTGAACGCCACTGTAGAGATCTCCGGCCACCCGGCTGTACAGATGGTAGGGGTATAGGTTTTTCGTCCTTAGCAATCGCTGTAGTGTATATAAATTAACGAATTGTTTAGCCCTAAAACAAAAAAAAAGAAAATAAATGCGTTTTGTCTAACTTACCAAAAGAAGAAAAAAACTGGAGGTTGTCCGTCCGGCCAAAATTAATATTTACTGAGGCAAACGTCAAATAAAAAGGAATGTAAAACCAAAACCTTTTCGTCCCATATGAGCATTGCCAGCAAAGAGTTTTGCCAACTGGTATAATGCACCGGAAGAAAGAAAAGGGAGGGGTGTATCTTTTTGTAGAATCACTAATACATGCAAAAAGTGCTTGAAATGTATTGGGTAGTTCCAGTGTACGGTAAATGGCGGAAACCGAGAATATAAAAGGAGCTGTTTGCTACGGGATTGCCAAAACGCTATTCAACGGCAGAACGTGCCAGAGCCGCATTCCTCGGAGTTTGCTTCTTTTTTTGCTGTGTCGCGATAGTTAAAAACCGCGTGTGGTGGACAATTCGCTAAGTGCCGGAAAGTTTTTTTTTAAAAGTCCGCGCGAAAGTTTTTGTAAATTCGGTGGAGTCAACGACAAAGACCACCGGGAAGGGCCGCAGGGGGTTATCTTGACCCAAAGAACCCTCAGACTGCGAAAAGTGTGCGGAGTCCACGAGAAAGTGACGTGGGAACAGGTGTATAGGATAGGAGCTGTTTAAGTAAAGACGAGTCCCGGAGGTACCCGTGTAGGCGTTTTTTTCCAATTCTTGCTGATAGCCGTCAAAAGTGTAAGTTTGTTAGTTTCCTTTGTGTAGATTTAAATTGGACCCTAAGTTCCATTTAATTATAGTGTGTCGGATGTTAGGAGTGCGGCGAAAATATTTAGTCTCCCCCCCCAAGAAGAAATAGAGGGCGCGGCACAACTTTTGTGTAAGTGCTATTTTTTAAGTGTATTTATTTTTTTTGTCAAACATTTTTTGGGCCTAAGTCACGCCCGGTGTCGAAAGCACAAGAACGTGCAGAATTTTATTGGATCTCACGAGACTCTCGGTATCGCAACTTGCAGAACGGCTGCAACATTTTTCTGTTGGAAACTTTTGCTGTTAGCCCGCCACTGTTAAAGTGTGCAAAGCTTTCATACATTGAAAGGCCGGATATATAAAGCCGCTCACTAGGGTAGTGCGGACAAATTTCTGCCCGTGGATGTGCGTTTGCTGGTAGTCGATTTAATTAAGTATATATTTTTTTTTAGTTAGTACGTTATATACGTATATACACATATCTATTTTTGTATTTATTTTTTTGTTCCGACATTGATTTGTCTTTTTGTTCTATTGGTGGACTGACTGCAAAACCTACCCCCCATATTCAAGAAAATTCTATCTTTTTTTTTTGAGATTTAAAAAAAAATCCCCCTGAGAACCACCCCTAAAGAGCTCTTTCTGGCAGGTTTTAGGAAGGGTATAAATGTTAATACTCTTGTGAGTCCAGTTGTTTTGTTCGAAGTGTATGTAATTTGTTTTAATATGGAGACGGTTTGAGGTCCAAAACAGAATTTTTGTATATAATTTGAGAACATATTTAGTATCATTAATTTAAAAGTTAATTATTTTTTTTTTTGAATTTAAACCTTACAAATTTAGTATAACTGTTAAGATGGTAAACCAAATAAATTGTATTTTCATTTGAAAAGAAAGACCTAAATATGTTTGGTTTTTAAGGAATTATAAAAAGGGGGATGAGTTAAGAAGGATGAGGTAAGAGGAAGATGGCATGGTGGACGTGATAGGAATAAAAAGGGGGTTGTCAAGAAAAGAAAAAATGCAACGGCGAGAATAGGCAACCAAGGTCGGGAGGGCGATTAATGATGTGATGTGGAGCGTTGCAGAACACCTTCTTTTTGTTACGCTACCCCACGGCCTGACGCAGCGGGTTGGGGACCTACGATCCGCTCTTGAGCTAGCCGAGGAGCTGCGTCTGACAAGATGACTCTGGGGCATGGCACCTGTGGTAAGCAGGAGATAACAAAGTTGTAAAGTTGTAATTATGAATGAAATTTCCCATCAAAATGTACATTTATAATCAATTTACCCAATTTGTACAAATATACTCATGCGATTTCCCTCCAAACATTCTCATGCATTCAAAAATGCGTACGTACATACATATGTATGTATGTAAAAGCGCATATGTGACTAAAACACAATAATAAAAATTTCATTCATAGACGCATGCGCATATTTTTCAAGGTCAAACACATTCATTCATAAATTCAATGGTCATACATCTCCCCGTAAACGCTTTGTCCACAAGCGGAACTTCTTCGCGAGGGCCACAAAAATTCTAAAATGTTAAATTGAAGAAATCACAGCCTGCCAAATGAAAAGTTGCTAATCCGCAATAATATCTGAGGACATTTGTAAAAATAACTTATCTCGAGTTAAGGCATTTTTTTCTCTAAACTTGTAAATCGCAGTACTTCAAACTTTCATATTATTAATTAGTTGCTTAAGATTTTAGTTGAATAAAAAAACAAAATAAACATAAATTTTTTGCATAAATGGCCCATGATATGTTGATCTTAAGTCAAAACTTCTAAAATCACATACATAAGTGGTTTAACAACTAATGTAATGTGGCAACAAGGTTGCCTTCACGAGCTTCGGTCATAAATTTTAAAATTTTTGTCAACCGAGTGTTTACGATTTGTTACAGTTGACTCTAGATACTTCGAGCGACGTATATAAGAGTTCAAAAAATTTAATTATTTTGCATTATTGATAAATGCAAAGCTCTGAAGCATGTATAAGTGAGTGTATACATACAGACCTATTCTGCGTTAATAACACAAATATTGTTTACTATCATGAAAAGCTTCAAACACAAAGTCGTACATTAACCTATTCTGCTTTTGTAATCCAATTTTTTTTACCGCAAAATAAAGTTCGTCTCTTTTTTTAACTCTTTTTTTCATTCTGTGAACTCTTCTCATAAGCAGGTAACAAAATATTGCCACATGAAATATGCAACAGCAGAACTTCTACAAAAGTTCATATCTGAAATGCTGAATAAATTAAAACGTTAGCAAGGTACCTAGAATTGTGGTAACAATGTTTGGTAACAAAATTTACTGGTTCCAAATATTCGGTAACAAGCAGAATAGAGCTACAAGATGTTCATGTTAGGTATAGCCTTCTGTAAGCGTACATATATATGTACGTATGCATACGCGTAAATATGTCACGCGTATTTCGTCACGGAGGATGTGGGAAAGACGGAGACAACTTATGGTTCAAATTTACGTGTTTATTTTTTTCCAAAAAATTGGAAAATATTTATTTTTTCCCGATGAAAACGAAATGTATGCAAGTTTATATACAAATGCATTGATTTTATGTTAGCCTAATGCAATTTGTATATAATGAACATTAGTTTTGTTAATATGCGGCCACAAACTCACTTTATCAATCAAATGGCTCGAAACATTACTTTTTCCACACTTCTTGAAATGTATTTCCTGATGAAAACAAAATATAAGTACACACATATATAAACGCATAGATTTATTATTAAACTAATGCATTTTTATATAAATGTACACTGATTTTGTTTAAAATAATGATCACTTGTCCATAGACACTAACAATCGGCCCTTATTGACAAACACTGCACTTACAAACACTTTTTATTATTGCTATGGACACTTTCACATACAAGCACCACCATATTTTACACATGCACTGAATATTCTATATTTTACAGCTTTATTTATATATTTTCTAAATTAAATAACATTTTTCCAACCACTTGCGCAAAATAACCACAGAAATTCACATTTGCTGCTTTTCTTGCGTTTTGCTTGTCTTTTCCGTATTCGAGCCGAAAATAAAAAATCTGCCGTGGACAGATTGAAAACAGAGACAAATTCCTGTTTGTTATGGGTTACTGTTCGCCGCACAAAATATAAATACTTAATTCTGCAGCGTAGCGGGCCATAAATTTCATCAGCTAATAATTTTTCTGAGCGTACGGCAACACCAAAACTGCATGGAAGGTCCGCCATTTTGCGACAGCTGTGTTCCTTTCGGACAGGGTCTCTGATTGCCACTGGTTCCTGCAGGTCTGTTTGCCTACTTTTTTTGGTTAACAAACGGTTTCCCGCAGAGGCTGGTGATAGTTTGTGACAGTTGTCTGTAACTGCCCGTCATCACAGGATGGAGTTTATATCTTGACACACATGCTAGAATATAGAGAATAATACATATCAGGGCTTATATCTTGGCATCTGTTGCGATAAATTACTAGTTTGACAGCTACGTTTTCCTTGCACTAAAATTTTCTGGCGGCATTATTATTCATATTTTGACATACGGTATATGCAACAAACCAAACACACGCTCATGCGAGGCACTATTTTTGTGTGTTGCTGAAATTGTTAAATTTACATATATTTTATAACTTGCAAGTAACGTACGTTCTTTTTGTTTTATCAGATTCCATTTTGATTTTCACTCCTTATTACCACCGACAATATTCTGCCTTATCCTGAGTTTCGCCTGATAATTGTTCATCCGCCCATAGTAATTACATGGAAACCAAAAGTGAACCGGTTCTGGGAAAATGAAACTCATGATAAGGCTGATTACACTTAGAAGCTGTCAAGTTTTACCTAGCTCCATGAGCTAGACAAAATTTTGACGTTCGTATTCACCACGAAAATGTCAAATTTGTATTCTAGCCATTTTCAGAGACCTTTTTTGCGGTTAAGCCCGGTAAAAATACTTCCAAAAAGCGGATGTCAAGATATAAAAGCCCGCACAAATATCGCCCTGATATAACTTGTATCTAGCAACCCAACAGATGGCTGAAAAACAATAAGTTTTATCCT